AATATCATGATTGACAAGGTCAAAAGCTTTACTGAAATCAAGAAAAACAGTACCAAGAAGTTTACCTTGGTCCATTTCATTTAACCATTCATCTGTAATTTTTGTAAGGGCTGTTTGGCATGAATGTAGTTCTCTGAAGCCTGGTTGAGAGTCTTGTATAAGATCAAAATCCGAAAAAATATATCATATATATTTTGCAACATGTTTTTCAATAACTTTTGATAATGTTGGTAAAATAGAAATAGGCCTATAATTATTTGGATCTAATCTGTTTCCTTTTTTATAGACTGGGGTAACTTTTGCAAGTATAAAACTATCGGGAAAAATGCCAGTTTTGATACAAGTATTTATAATATGGGTCACAAGTTTATGTATTATCTGTGAAGTAAGTTTCAATAAACGTGACAGCTGAAGATTTACTAATATCTAGTTTATTGAGTAAAGCTAGTACTTCATCATGATTTATGAATGGGATAGAAAACTTGTCTGCTCCCAATTTAGACTGAACACAATCTAAAAGATCTGTCAAGTCAATTTCCTCCTTACTTATGCCTGAAAGAAGTTCTGTAGAAATATTTGAAAAATGAGAATTAAACATTTCTACTATTTCTTGTGTGTCCTCTGTGATATAATTATTTTTAGCAAGTGCAGCTGGAATATAATTAATAGTTTCCGCTGAATGGTGACAGAAAGGTACCTAAAATGTAGCTGAAAGGCATCTGAATGGTCTCTGAAATGTATGTGCCATTCAGTGGCTGAATGGCCACTTAAAATTCACTGAAAGCCGCCTTTCAGTTTTAACTGAAAGGTCTTGTTTCTTCCTGTGCCTAAGCCTGTATGCTTACCTAGTTTACTTTCTTTATCGTTCTTATTTTGTTTGCTTTTTATTTCTAGGAACAATTTAAACACCATGATATTGTTTTTTCCTAGCTACAGTTGCTATTGCATGACTTTCAAATTTGAAACACCGTACTTGAGATAAATATAAAATATAATTATATAAATGATAAACATGGATTTAATTCTGAAAAAAATCTTTCACTGTATACTTTTGATCAACGAATTTATCACCCTATTCAATCAAAAGGTCTAAAAATCATTTGAATAAACTGAAAAAATAAACCCTCTGAATTTTTTCTTAATATCACCACTTTCGCCCCGAGGAAATAATAAAGACAAAGTGTAATCAGTGCAAGTGAAGGAATCTTTTTCATTGATATGACATCAATATTAATTTGTTAATAAAGTTGTTTACCCAAGATTACAAGATTTTTACCATACATTAGTAGTTCTACTTTGATTTCTTGTTCAACTCATCAAATTCCGGGAGATTACTAGTATGACTGGAAAAAAATACATTTGCACCACGTATTTATAAATATCGTAACCGAGATAGATGTTCTTGAGAAGAACCTTTATAAGATTATTTCCCTTTATATGCCGTATCCCCATGCAAAACTTTCAGGAAGCCTCATTATAGGCTACACATACATGTACAACAATGACCATAGTTTGATCCTTTTTTGAATTCACACTTATTTAAAACGTTCTGATTTTTTACCACAGAGGTTGTCGATACCAATAATATTTACAGATGAAACCTTTTCATCATAACACGTAACTCCTCTTGAAATAGGATATGACCCTTTGTTTGAGCAAATCCGAGTGTCCAAGGAATGCTTCTGAAAATTGTGAAAATAGTAAAGTTTTTCTTAAATAATAAGCTTAAAATTTGCAAAGTTTACAGGAGGAAGGAAAGAAAAAGGGCTGAAACTTGAGGATTTTTATGAAAATTACAAGTTATTTGGTTTAAGAGAGCTCGGGTCAACTTTTAAAAAGCAAAACAATATCTCATTCATTTGATTTTTTATGGGGGGGGGGGAGACATGCGTTGAGTATCATTTCAGAGGAGAAGGAGGGAATTAGAGGAGGAGTATGTAAACTAAAGGTGTGTCGAAATAGATTCATTTGTTTTAATTTCAGTAGAGTAGGGCAAATATCTTTGACACTCTAAGAGTGTTGGATTGGTTCCAGAGGGATGTTGTGTAGTATTCATAAATTGTATTGCTTTACAAAATGAAGAGCAAATAAATGAAAGAAAAATATATTTATATTTATGTACGAGAGTATATAATAACGGGATCATTTATATAAAAGAACGTAACAGGAAAGAAACGATTGATTGTTTACATAAATATACAGTAACTGTTATAGTAATAAAATACAGTGGTACTTTTATTTAAAATATACATGTAACATACAAATATTTTAAAGGAATTGCTTGTTGATTATACTGTAATTCAATTTTAACTAAGTTATATGAACTGAACATTGATTCAAAATTAATGACAAATTTATACCCATATTTTTCATCCATGCCAAATTATCCCTCCCTCTTTTAATTTGTAACAAATTGGTACAGAGACCTTGACATACAAAGGGAAACCTAAAGTAATTTTTTGGGAAACCCATACGTTCTAGCTTTCTAGATAACTGACCTTTGGGTTTTCTGTTACAGTTTTATGATGACGCAGATAATGTTTTTGGAATTAAGGCAAAATTTTGGAACTTTATCAACCGTATGTTATCAAAGATAATATCTAACGAGTCTCATTTTTAGTCTGAGCTTCGTTTTTCATGTTTTTAAAGATACAAAATTTGAGCAAATGCAGACAATACAATATATTTAAAAGTGTATATATGTTTTAGGAACATGTTAACATTGTATGAATAATTCTTTAATGGCAAAACTTAAACTATTTTGTTTCCTGCTACTTGGACGACAGCTACTTAACAGCTATAATTTTCAGGAATATTTGGTCACTTCTTTGTTGAGTCAGCCGTAACAAATTTTTCAGGTGCTGTAAACCAAGCTGATGAACCAGTAACAAAAATTACAGTATTATACCAAACCAGAGTAAAACGCCTTTGGAGATTTATTTGAAATAAATTATTTTACACGTATCATAACACAGTGAAGAAATTTCCTTGTATGTTTGTTGCAGAAATGGTGTTCACTTAAAACAAAACCTGTTTTGCTTTTTCAGTAACCTTAATTGTAGATCAATTAAAATATTTAAACTTGTTTATGTTTTGTCAATTTATTTTATAATACATAATTTTAATCTTTTCACGATCATGTCGAGTTAATAAAAAAAACATTTATTGTATAATATATCAGAAATTTGAACGATTAGTAAAGCCGTTACATACATCAGGACGAATGATTCGACCTTTTTTTTTGTATATATCGAATAATTTTCATAACAGGAAATGTATCTTAATTAAGAAATCCCCCTTGATCCACCTTACATGCCTAACCAGTTAATTATGTCTTGTATTAGAAGTATTATTCTTATGTGAGTTATGTGAGGGTTTCTTGTGGTAAATTGTAAAGGAATGTGTCCCGCCTTTTAAATAAATTCATGTTAACATCATCATTCTCTGGTTTGATTTTGAAACTTCCAATTCTTTCAGTATCTGATTCTTGTATTGCAATGGTTTCCTTTGACATAAATAGGTTTTAAAAACTGTTTATTTATGACTGTCTGGAAGAGTTTCAAAAATCGACGAAGTTTCTTTCTTTATTTTGGTTTACATGATAAATAAGCATTTAAATTTGAACAAGCAGTCCGTTGTTCTAATGTTTGTATTTTCCCTGACATTGGCATATCACTTATGTCAAGGTTAGTCATGTTTGACTTCATATGATTTAAAAAATAAAAATGTTTAAAATTAAAAAAATGGCTAGAATTCATATGCAACATGTTCATTCATGTTCTTAAAATTAAGTAATTAAAAAAAAACTTAATGTTTATTTGCACAGAAGAAAAAAAAGGCCACAGCCCATGAGTTTGCGTCCGAGGGCTCCAAAAAACAATCGAGCCGAAAAAATGAAATCCTTATATTAATCAAATGTTACGTAAAACATTCGACTCTTTTATGTGCTCCTATTTAGTTATAAATATTCAGCATGTGTCAGATATTTTAAACTCCTTCCACATTGCTTAAAATCTTTTTTAAACTCATTTTCTCAAGTGTAAGATCATGTTTTGTCTGTGGTAGTTCAAAAACGTTGGACCTTTTAAGCAAATAATGAAAGGGAGGTAACAAATAAAAAAAATATAACGATGTATGGTATAAAAATGTGTTTTCTTCAATGTTATTAAAGTATAATTATTGAAGTGTAGATATTATATTGTCATAAAAAATGCTTTACCAAGTGGAGATTATATTTTTAGACAGAAATTATAGATAAAATATGCCTGATGCACATGATATGCGATAAGCAGACATTATGATTATAAAACAACATACACAGCCAATTGTGCCTAACGTTAATTTAGTGTTAATCTCAATTAACATTCAATTAACGTTAGCTTAATGTTAGTTTAATGTTACTTTCGTGTTAAGTTAATGTTAAAAATATTAACATTAATTTAACGTTAATTTTTAACGTTAATTTAACTTAACATTAATTTCATGTTAATTTTTAACGTTAATTTAACTTAACATTAATTTCATGTTAATTTTTAACATTAAATTAACATTAACATTTAAAGTGGTCTCAAAAAACTAGAACCAAAATATTAACATGAGATTAACGTTAATTCTTTAATGTTAATTTCATGTTAACTAGACAAGGTTAATATTATTATTCAAATTTTAGACCTAACTTTAAACAATACTTCAATACTTGCCAATCATTTTAGTGACATTTAATTAATTATTAAGATGTCCATACGTGGATACTCAAAACCGCCGAGGTTGGGGTGGGGTAGGGGGGGAGGTATTGGCACTTGTGTCGGAAATAAATTTTTAACCCAAATATATAAAGATAACAGTTGTGTTAGTATTATACCATAGGTTCAAAAAGTATTTCCGACACAATTTATTTCCGACACAAGTCACTCTGTTTTTGTGTAAGGGTGTGTTACACGTGTGGGTTTGGGAAAGGGGGGTGCTCTTACTGTTAGCAACCTCTTCACCTCGTCCATCAAATCGGACTTTGTCGTCGAGACTCGATCGGAAGAACCCAGCTGCCTAAATTATAATGCCAGTGGAACTCAAAACAGGTATTGAAAGTGGAACAAAATGTAAACAATTCCCACAGTAAATGTAATGACAGTGAAATTTACATTCACACACCCCAACTAATTTTTTTAAAATACCAGTTAAGTACTTGTCACTACTTAATTGACACTTGTCAATATTTTGTTCAGAAACATTTTATAAGCATTATTAAATCGAGATTTTTTCTTTTACTGCAAAATACAGAAAAGATACTTGTATGCAAGACATGAAGAAAAGAGCAGAATACAGCCTCTATATACCATTCCTTGGTGCCTCCTTAAGGGAATTGATGTTTTTTTCGGGATAACCATGCAGGAATAAAGGTTATTTATAAAATAGTATATACATAGTGTATTCACAATTTTCATTTAGAAAAAATTTATAAATTGAACCAGAGTTTATGCTAAAGAGACAAATTTAAAGCCAGGTTTCTTTCACTGTACTAAAAGTTTGCTTTGAATCAGACGCTGCACATAAAATTTGGTTTTTATCTATGAATATCATATTTTGAAGATATTACATTTCAAATAAATGATTTTTGATTATTTTTTTTATGATCGTAGGTTAACTCAGTATAAAGTCTTGCTGACATGAACATGATAATCACAAGAAAGTGAATATATTTCATCACCTTAAGCAATCTTCAAAATACCAGGTGCATTTATTCTGAACACATATCAAATATTTTCACCCATTTAATATTCACCCCTAATTTTTTAGCTCTACTGGTCAGAGAACAGAAGAGCTTATGCAATAGTAATGCGTCCGCCGTCCATCCGTCTGTCTGTAAACAATTTTTCAAAATGCTACTCCTCCTACAGTTTTGGTTTGATTTCAATATCACTTGGCACACAAGTAGACTAAACTAAGATACATAATTCTGTGCAACGGTTTGTGATTTCGATGAATGGTGTTGCCATGGTTTCTAAAAATAGAAATTTCTGTGATTTTTTTTCAAAATGCTACTCCTCCTACAGTTTTGGTCTGAATTCAATATAACTTGGCACACAAGTAGACTTCACTAAGATGCATAATTCTGTGCACCGTTTTGTATTTTGATGAATGGCAAGGATCATTTTTTACAGTGTATATATTGCTGTTTTAAAGTCTCAAGTCTCAACTGCTACTTTTCTCTTCCTTTGTTTTAAGTATAAACAAGTAGAGCTACAGTCTTGACAGAGACTTCTGGTTTTGAAAGTATACTGGAAATACAATGTCTGTTTGCCAGTCTTTCTGTACAATAATGTATATGGAAGTATATAGTTTTTAAATACTAGAAGCTTTTTAGTTCATCTGAGCCAAAAGCACAAGTGAACTTTTCAGATCACGTACATTTTGTTCGGCGTCTGTCTGTCCATCTTTTAACTTTTCACATTTTCAACTTCTTTTCAAGAACCACTGGGCCAGAAAAGATGGAACTTAAATGGAAGCATCCTCAGATAGTGTACTTTCAAGCCTCTTCAACCCAGGGGGGGGGGGGGCACAATGGACTTTCAGTCTTAGGCCTAGAAAAAAATATGTTTGTTTCCGCTTTCAGTCTGAAAAAATATAGGGTAGGTAGGAAAGCAATTTTTTTTTTGAATTTTTTTTTTACTTCTTTAATCAAAATATTTATAGAAGTAACAATAATGACAAAAGAAAAGGTGTTTTCAAGGATTTATGTGGCTTAAATTTATAATAGAAAGGTGACGCAAACTTCTTTCTGTCTTGAAGAGAAAATTGGAGACTATGATTCCCTGGGTGAAATCTTGCACTTCATTGGACTAAAGCATAAAAAGAAAATTTTAGGGTCGGCACTATAAATTAGGGTCGGTCGGGAAAGCGGAAACAAACAAAAATAATTTTTTTCAAGGACTTACTTAGGAAATAAGGTATTTTTAAACATCTATCCGGACATAAATATCAGTTGGTCATGACTTACAAGATTAAATTCCAATGAATTTAATCTCGTACCAACCCATATTTATAGCCCGTTGGATGTTTTAAAATTATACCTTATTACTTTTATTTTCATTTGACTTACTCTTACTTTATATTTGCCTGATCACACTGTTTGTGGCTTTTAACATGCAAAATACATTAATTTTCAAAACCAATGGCATGTATACAAGACAATGAATGTGTGTCGACCCTTTATGACGTCACTGAGAAATTCCGTTGAACATTTATCGATACGCACATCTATGACCTCTTGACCCCTGTAGTGTATATTCAAATTTGTTCCCACGTTTTACATAGGAATGCATAGGAAAAACCTTTTTAAAATCTTCTCCGAACTTATGTGGAATCATCCTCAGGTAGTGTAGTTTAAAGTTTGATCAAATCATGACCCCCGGGGGTAGGATGGGGCCACAATGGCCAAAATTTTACATAGGAATGCATAGGAAAAACCTTTTAAGAATCTTCTTCAGAACCATTAGGACAGGAATGATTAATCTCATGACGTGATGTGGAAGCATCCATAGGTACTAAATGTAGATTCAATTTGTTCAAATCATGACCCCCAGGGTTAGGGTGTGGCCACAATGAGGGATTACAGACTTGTATAAGAATACATAGGAAACGGAATCTTCTCCAGAACAGAAAAACAATTGTTTTGTGAGATTGACATGATCTGCAAGTAGTAAAAATTTAAATTTATTCAAATAATGCCCCGGTGATTGGGGTTAGCAAGGGGTCACAATGGGAGATCAGGTAATGTGTTGGAAAAATCTTTAAAAATCTTCTTTTCAAGTATGGCAAAATAATATATGTATGCTGTATTGTAGTAGTGACATTTTCAAGAAATAGAAAATTCAAACCCCCTCCCCAAATAAGTATAAAGTAAGCTTCTCAATACTTAACTAATCTGTGTTTTTAGCTAGCCCGTGTGCGGGATGTGGCCAATGGACCTCCTCTTTCATTCATTACATTTTAGACAAATTTGAGTTGTTAATGTATTGCTGAAGTATTTTATTTTCATATAAATATTATACTATATGTGTTTGCCTCTCTTCTTTTTCAGATTGGAAAAAGAAAGAAGATTTGTAGCATTGTATTGAATATGCCTGATTAAAAGTGTTAATGGATGAATTGTTGTTTTTCATTTTTCTTCAGAAAATTTGAAATCAGAGGCAATGCTCAGAATTTTAGAGATTTTGTTGAAAGAGCTGATGGGTCCTTTTTATCCTTTTGGATATATTCAAACTGAAAAGAAAGTGACACCAGGGATGAGGTCAACATGCAAGCCTAGCTTTCTGCAGTGCTACAAGGAAAAATGAAAAATTGATGAGCTTCTGTTGTACCTTTAGAGAAATAAGATAATCAGTTAAGCTTCTGCTATAATGCAAGAACATGTATTTTTCTGGAGGAATAGGAAGGTAAATTCCAAAAATATGCACACAATTTTTATGAATTTTAACATTAAATTAGTGTGAACTAATTAACGTTAATTTAACGCTTAACGTTAATTTAACATGAAAATAACGTTAATTTAACGTTAATTTTTTAACGTTAAATTCATGTATAAGCTCGATTGACGTTAATTTAACGTTAAATATTTAACGTTAAATTAATGTTATTTTCACGTTAAATTAACGTTAGGCACAATTGGCTGTGTACATTAAAAACATGTGTTAGTGTAAAAAAAAATTAGTTGCTTATCGAATAAAGTGGTGCTGATTATAAAATTTTATCTCCTCAGGGGAAGAAAAAAATAAATAACGGGAATTTCAAAGCGCAGAATGAATATAATTTGTTAGAGAGGTCGAGGAATGGTTTCAGGAATTCCTTTTTGCATTTTTTTAATTTAAAAAGAATACCAAGCAAAAGTTGCAAACATGAATTTCATGTGAATTTTTCACATGGAAAAGACTCGAAAAATAAAACATGTAAAGTTTATGTGAAAACTTCATGTGATTTTAACATAGATTTCATATACATTTTATATGAAGAGCATATTGCATTAATATCATGCAAAGAAAACTTCATGAAAGTTTAAAATAAAATTGTGTGAATATCATATAAACTTATTTTCACATGATATTCACATAAAATATATTTATAATTTTCAAAGAGAAAGATAATCACATGAATTTCAGGTATGTCACTTTTCCCTATGTAGGATCACTAAATATAATAAGTTACGTAGTATATCAGGTATCAAATATATTACATCATGGATACAAATAAATAAAAGATATAAAATTTTACTTTGGGAAACCGTTTACTTTTCGGAAACCATGTTTGCCTTAATATGACTTAACCTGTTAAAAATAAAATGTTAGAAAATTAAATTTAATTATCTTTCCATCATTCGATGTTGTTTTTTTAGATATAAGAATTCTTTGAAAAAAAACTCGACTACAGTCTAACCATTTCATACTAGGCATCAATGGCAAAATTGAGATTTATGTATGAGTTCGACGGCTCGTTATGTTTTAGTTTGACGGCCCATTTATAAAGAACTGATTGAATTTTGTTAAAATACATATCTTATATGAAAAAAATGCAATAACTGGCTTATGTAAGAAATCATCCGCGTCGAAATTAATCGGTGAAATGATTAAGTGGATGTTCCCTCCTGTCTTATAAATGATAAGCGATTTCAAAGGTTTGTTATATACTTTTACTGACTTAATCATTATTGTGGATGTCTAGTAACGAACCTAATAGTTTGATTTGATTAACTCAGATCAAAATGAAAAAAAGGCGTCTTCATATTACTGAAATATTTTCGAGAGGGACTTAAAACAATATAAAACCACTCAGTTACTCAAATTGAAATAATGTGTTTTATATGTGCATGTATTTATTTCTTTACCCGTCTGTTCAAGCCTTTTACAAAGGCAAAGCAAAAGATTACTTAGTATTTTTGATCAATTTTGTCATTTATTAAGAGAGATAATAAAAAGATTAATTAAGAAACCATATCAAACAATGCTTTTGTAGCATTCTTCACAGGATGAAAAGCCAGGTTTCCCAAATTTGGAAACCCGATGGAAACATATGGGAATCGTGACATCAGTAGTTTCCATATAGTTTCCATTTTATGGAAACCACATAGTGGTTTCCACATAGATTCCCGACATGGAAACAATCAACCTGTGGTTTCCCGTAAGTTTCCCAAGATAGGAAACCATGGAAACATACCCCGGTGGTTTCCACATAGATTCCCGACATGGAAACAATCAACCTGTGGTTTCCCGTAAGTTTCCCAAGATAGGAAACCATGGAAACATGCCCCGGTGGTTTCCATATAGATTCCCGACATGGAAACAATCAACCTGTGGTTTCCCGTAAGTTTCCCAAGATAGGAAACCATGGAAACATGCCCTGGTGGTTTCCATATAGATTCCCGATATGGAAACAACCAACCTGTGGTTTCCCGTAAGTTTCCCAAGATAGGAAACCATGTAAACATGCCTCAGTAGTTTCCATACAGATTCATGACATGGAAGCCACCAATGTGTAGTTTTCCCCATGTTTCCCAGGCAGGGAAACTTTGAAAGTATATATCAATACTAACCAACCTACCTTTTATTTTACAAAAAGTTAAATATTTAATTATGTTACCATATTTTTACCAATTATAGAAATATTTCAAAAGTGTTTACATGCTGTATCAAAATAATTAGTTTCAAACAGTTAAAATAACTAGATGTGTATTTCTGTGTGATTAATTTAATATTTCAGCACCGTGAACGCAATTCAATTTTAATTTAATTTTATTTAACTGAATTTTATTTGATTTAATTTAATTTTGAATTTGATTTATCACATAAGTTTTGGTAAACTCGTATAGAATGCGTGAAGTGGAATAGGAAAAAGTAAGTACATGCAGTTATGTAGAAATCAATCATTTCCGATCCCACTTTCTTGAAGCTGTCTATGATGAATGTTCCTTTGAAAAAAAATGGAAGAGCTAAGGAAGGGTACATTTAATGAAATTATTTACAGAAAAGGTTTACTAAAAAGATCGATTAAAAAGTAAATAAAGAAATGTGTCAAGTTACGATTACTGATTAAGGACAGGTGAGACGTTCCTCAATAATATTAATTAATTTTTTTCCAATATTTTGCAATTGACATTGAAGAATTATTTTTACATAATTACATGTATTCACAAGACATCAAGGTACCTTACCAGGCATTTGTGTTACATACCAGAGGTTCACACTTGGCATTTCTTATATACGGGGGTAATTAGTCAGGAAAAAAATACTTCAATTGGTTTGTCAAAATTACATTTTTAGTGTTTAAAGTTTTTAAATACGAGTTTAGAAATTGATAAAGCTTTTGTTTTAATATGAATTAATATATTAATATAAACTGGTCAGATAAGAATCATTCATCGAATTGGCTTGGGGCTGAGTATTATCATACTAGTATTTTACTATTAATAGTGAATATTGTCTTTTTTAATTTATTAAATCATTGTTTTTATTATTGGGGTTGGTGGGTTGCTTTTTATTTTTTTTTCTTGAGAAGCCCCCCCCCCCCCCAAAAAAAAAACGCTTTTGAAAAAGTCACTATGATCGGCCTGTGTAATTAGGGACACCTGTCCTCACGTGCCATATCAGGTGGAGACACGTGCCGTGGAGACACGTGCCGCGAAGACACCTGTCACTGTGTATTTTTTGTATATTCTATGTGAATTGAGACGGTTTTGTACCTAAAGGGAACAATGGGCTGTTGTCGAGCATGTACACACACAGTCTCCGACCGAAAATTCTTTTAAATTAAGATGATGATTCGTGTTTCTTTTATCATTTAAAAAATTGTATATTCCATAAATAAAGTTATACAAGAGAACATATTTATAAAATAACCTACATTTAATAAGTTCAATGAAAGAACAAACTATTTAGAATTTTTATTTCAATTTTCATTACTGATTTAAAATAAAACTCTCCTCTTTAGAAATTAAATAATTTTCTATAGGTATTGAATAGATCTTAATTCTCGTCGTGTATAATTATATTAAATCAGAATGACGTTTATAGATCAATGTGAAATCAAAACTGTATTTAATATTGTTGATGGATTTTTGTGTGAAATTTGTAATCTAACGTTCTACAAAGACATTTATTAGATAAATGTTTATAATATAATTCATCACATAAAACGTTTTCCCCCTTTTTTGTTTAAATATGTACGCAGATCCCCGTGATGTAAACGCCTGCACTTTTCGCACGAAAATTACAATGTAGGGTCCTAAATGCACATACATTATATCTAACAAACTAAAAAATTTTCAGCCATTTTTTTTTCTCCAAAGGCCATTGCTCTAGATAAAGAAAAGTCTATAATATTTTGCATGATTTTGTTTTCCTTAAGAACAATGGCTTTTAAGGTAGTGCATGCTAAGGCAATCTATTAAAAGAATTAATTGTATTATTAATTCATTGTATAATTGTCACGATTGTATTTTTGTGCAGTTTTTGTTGATTTCATTCTATAAAGGTATGAAGTTTGTCAATACTTCTACAAACATTTCTTTATCTATGGTGTACACTACTTTATTTTTATTCGCCGACATGCTACTCTTTTTATAAAAAAAAAAACTTGCGTGACTAATAGACTGTATGTATACTTAAACCATGATAAAATCATATGTGTCCAATACAGCATATGATAAGTCATTAATATACAAGTACATGTGTATCTATACTGTAATACATATATATTGCATTATTTTTAGGCCCTGTTCTGTGGATGCCCTAAGACAGTGTCTACCCATCACTCCATCTGACATCACTTGTTCTGAGCATATTTCTCTCTCAAACTTAAACTACAGAGAGCCTGTGGATAGTGGGTGAAGAGTGACCTTGGACCAATTTTCTAGGTCAAAGGTCAGTATCAAAATCTACTGTATATCTTTATTTAAAATCGTAGTCCAGAGTATATTTCTCCCCTGCCTGGTGTAATCTAGCTTTTGTGCAATGGGGTGGACTCCGTGGAGGGTCTGCAATGATCTTCAACCAATTTCTAGGTCGAATATCAAAATATAAAAAAAATCTCTCCCAAATATTTTTGTTATTATAAAGAGTATGTTTTCTCTCAAACTAATCAAACTTAAAGCAGGGTTC